TACCTATGTGTTTTAAATCTTACTAGAAGTTTTATCATCAGAAGAAAAAGTAAGGGATTCATTATAACTACAAAAAAAGAAATATCCTTACTAATGTGAACAGGTTTGGAGGGAATGAATTATGGATTCAGGCTCACAGCTGAGAGGATTGTTGAGGTATTTCTGCTGAGGATTATATTAATACATTGACTTTATATTTAACAATAATTTATAAATCAACAAAGTGCTTTAGTGACATTGTCCTTAGGTGTACAACGACGTCCTTTTTAATTTGACCCTCTGTTCTGTGAGGCTATAAATGCTTAGGAAAGCTCAGATTGAGGAGTTCCATTAACAAAAGGGATCCCCCGTCTTATCTACTTTTCTGCTTGGCCCTTTCTTCACCACTTGTGCTGTCTTAGTCTCTTTGTTTTCACTATGGAAACAAAATCAGGTTAGATAGATCTAGGTAAATGCCTAACCTGGCACTGGCCTGATACCAGAGCAAACAAACAGATGATGCAGAAATAGACCCTATCTAAAAAAAAAAAGAAAAAGAAAAAGAAAAAAAATAGACCCTGCGGCAGTGGAATAAAGCAGTACTAGGGAGTGTTGGGAGAGCCTCGTGTCGGTGAATAAAGAGCAGCTACCGAGATGTATAGCCACATGGCTTTGAACTTACTGCTTCAGTGGACTAGCTCCTCCAAAATGGTTGTCCTTGCTTTTGGAGAAATTTTTAAAATTGGCTCGGCGCCTGTGGCTCAAGCGGCTAAGGCGCCAGCCACATACACCTAAGGTGGCGGGTTTGAATCCCCAGCCTGGGCCCGCCAAACAACAATGATGGCTGCAACCAAAAAATGGCCAGGCGTTGTGGCAGGCGCCTGTGGTCCCAGCTACTTGGGAGGCTGAGGCAGGAGACTCGCTTGAGCCCAGGAGTTAGAGGTTGCTATGAGCTGTGATGCCATGGCACTCTACCCAGGGGGACAGCTTGAGGTTCCGTCTCAAAAAAAAAAAAAAGAGAAATTTTTAAAATTTATTTCAGCCCCCTTTGTTAATCATCTCTGCTCTTATTGCCTGTTATGTGTATTAAGAGTCACAATCTGGAGGCTGAAGCAACAGGATCCCCTAAGCCTAAGAGCTGAAGGTTGCTGTGAGCTGTGACACCGTGGCACTCTACCGAGGCCAACAAGATGAAACTCTGTCTCAAAAAAACAAAAAACAAAACAGAGTCACTCTGTAGGGAGCATCTCACCTCCGCTCTAAGCACTGTTAGCACACCTCTCTGAGCAGTCTCTGCTTGCCCTCTCTTTGACCCTTCTTGATGACTCCCTGAGGTTCCTCAGCACGGATGAGAGTATTACAAGGCAAGCAACTCCAAATAGAGTGCAGTTTTGTCTTTTTCTGTGCAGACGAGCCTTTGTTAGTTTTTATTTAATGTTGTACCACTTATTTGAACGTATGACAGGTTCTCCAGCAAGTTGACAACAAGTTTATTGCCTGCTTGATGAGCACGAAGACTGGAGAGAATGGCAAGGCAGGTAAGAGTGGAGTTTAGTCTCCATTACTAACTGGCTGCTCTTCTGATCACCCTCTTTTAAGGTTATTTTTGGTATAAAATACAGTTTCAGTGATTTTTACAGATTAGATAAAGCCAATCTAAATTAAGAATATTATGAAACAATAGTTTTAAAGTACATTTCATTTTATGCACATACACATGTGTACACACATAAGATACACACATTAAAGTGACTAAGGAGGTAGTTACCTTGGGAGTGAAAGTAGGGGGGACAAAGGAGTTTCATCTTCTCTTTTCTTTTTTTTGAGACAGAGTCTCACTTTCTCACCCTCAGTAGAGTGCCATGGCATCATCAAAGCTCATAGCAACCTCAAACTCTTGGGCTCAATCAATCCTCTTGCCTCAGCCTCCCAAGTAGCTGAGACTTCAGGCCCCTGCCATAACACCCAGCTATTTTTAAGAGTATAAAAATACTTGAACTCCTGAGCTCAGGCAGTCCGCCCACCTTGGCCTTCCAGAGTGCTAGGATTACGAGCGTGAGCTACTACTGCGCCTGGCCTCATCTTCTACTTTTTTTTTTGTAAGAGACAGAGTCTCACTTTGTCTCTCTTGGTAGAGTGCCATGGTGTCACAACTCACAGCAACTTCAAACTCTTGTGCTTAAGCAATTTACTTGCCCCAGCCTCCTAAGTAGCTGGGACTACAGGCGCCGACCATAACGCCCGGCTGTTTTTAAAGGTGAGGTCTCACGTCTCAGGCTGGTCTTGAACTCATAAGCTCAAGCAATCCAGCCACCTCAGCCTCCCAAGTACTAGGAATACAGGCATGAGCTGCTGAGCCCACCCCTTGTGTGACTTTTTGATAATGTTTTCTTATTTCTCTTTATAATAATAGAAAGCTTATGTAATGGACTTTGCTTATCAAGAGTTCATAGAATCTCTTGGTGACTTGCTTTAATGAAACAATAATTGTTTGGGCCAGGTGCAATGGCTCATGCCTGTAATCCTAGCACTCTGGGAGGCCGAGGCAGGTGGATTACCTGAGCTCACAGGTTGGAGACCAGCCTGAGCCAGAGGGAGACCCTGTCTCTGAAAATAGCCGGGCGTTGTGGTGGGCGCCTGTAGTCCCAGCTACTTGGGAGGCTGAGACAGGAGACTCGCTTGAGCCCAGGAGTTAGAGGTTGCTGTGAGCTGTGATGCCA